TTTGGTGATTGGGTTTTGAGCGGACCCACGTGGGAACTAAATTATTTAAAATTAGTATTATTATATAAATTATTTAGTATATGAATAAATACTTGCTGCTGTATTAACAATTCCTATAATAGCATTAGATGATGCTGGCAGTGTAGATTCAGGCGTAGATGAACTTTCTTGATTTTGTGTAATAGTTGTAAGCGCTTGTTGTAAAGCACTTGGATTTGTTAATAATTGGAGTAATAAAGCAGCGTTGTCCATTTTCTGTAAAAGTTATCGTGTATTAACAAATTTTCTTTTAAAAAAAGACCTTCGATAGATATAGATTTGAAAGTTTAGAAGAAATAAAAACAGACCTTATTAAATACATATTATATCAATCATTTAATCATTTATTATCGTATAGCTTAAGAGTCTAATTAATATATTAATTAATTAATTAATTAATTAATATATTTGACTATAATAATATAAAAATCACCTGATTGACCAAGATACATATGCATAAAGAATCAACATTAATATGTAAATCGTTATTGTATATACGTATGTAAAAAGGCAGTGATCGATGTCATTGCTGTAGCATGTGGTTTTGCGTCATAGGAAGCTATATACTTTAAAATAAAGAATATATTTAATACGTATATATATTGTTTGATAAAAATCTCGATATAATAAAAATAAAAATACATACTGCGGCAGTGATATCAATTATTAACCTGGGGCCACCCTGGTGAACTCTTTAAAAGTGAGATAAAATTATATTGAATAACGATAATTAATATAATTGGGTTAATTATAATAATCAACTTAAATTATTATAAAAACAGTTCTAATCAAATAACTTACCAAATTTACTTATAAATTTATATGTTATCTATATCATCTTGTAATTATTGATAAAATATGTAGATTATAAATGCTATTAATAATTGTTTAGCATCCTACGAATTCGTATTTATGCATTTAAAAAAAAAAAAAAATTCAAATTAAAAAAGAAAGAAATTAAAAAGCCATAACGATAAAATTTGTAGATTATAAATACCATTAATAATTAAGCTTAGCAGTCTACGAATTCGTATTTATGCATTTAAAAAAAAAAAAATTCAAATTAAAAAAGAAAGAAATTAAAAAGCCATAACGATAAAATTTGTAGATTATAAATACCATTGATATTTAAGCTTAGCAGTCTACGAATTCGTATTTATGCATTTAAAAAAAAAAAAATTAAAATTAAAAAGAAAGAAATTAAGAAGCCATAATAATAAAATTTGTAGATTATAAATACCATTAATAATTAAGCTTAGCAGTCTACGAATTCGTATTTTTGCTATTAAAAAAAAATAAATAAAATAAGAAGCTATAGTGATAACGATAATTAGAAAATAAAAAATAAAAATCTATTTATATCAGTATATGTATATACGTACGTACATACGTACTTGAGCTGTAATATCAGATTTTTTTTTTAAAGTTTACTTTTTAATATTAAATATAGTTTAATTAAATATATACCTGTATGCTGAAAATCGATCGATATAAGTATAACAAGCTTAAATCAATATATATATACTTGCATATATAGAAATTGACTTGGAAAATACTGCGGCTTCAGTATCTATGACATTACAGTGTAAAGTGAAAAATGGGCCTAGGTCATCATTGAGATAGCTCAGGTCGATTCGCTCAAATAGGTTAAATCTCAAATATGCTATATAGCAAAATAATAGATATCAGATATAATATAGATACAGTATACATATTAGTAAAATTAGATACGTAGTAACGAAATATGCATAAAGACATAATATTTTACCTTGAATAAAGAAATAATGAAGAGTTTGACACTTGAAGAGTTTGAAACTTGACAAGTCCTAATTTAAGTATTTCTTGACAATACATAGTCTAGAGCATTAAGACTAATTATGCGGTAGTAGTAGTGTTAGCTGCTAGCCGTTATTAGTGTAACCATTATAGCACCGGAACCAGGTTTCACAATTATAATGTATGAATACCTAATATTTTTAGTATGTTGTACACATATAGTAAATCAATGAAGTAAAGGGAGGAAAAATAAGAACTAAAAAAAATAAATTAAATTAAATTAAATTAAAAGAAATAAAAGAAAGAAATATTAGATTTATCGAACTACGAACTCGTAACTTGCTAAATTTAAATCCAAAATAAAAGTATAGAAAGCAGCAAATATGAAATAAAGGAAGGAAAATAAGATAAAACTAAAAAAAAAAAGAGAGAAAGAAAGAAAAAAAGAATAAATATTATTTAGTGAATTACGAATTCGTAATTCGCTAAATTTAAATCCAAAATAAAAGTATAGAAAGCAACAAATAGAAATAAAGGAAGGAAAATAAGATAAGAACTAAAAAAAAGAGAGAAAGAAAGAAAAAAGAAGAAATATTAGATTTAGCAAACTACGAAAAGGAAAGTTCAAATAGGAAAAAATAAAAAACTTCTAAAGGTTGACCTTCGAAAGAGAAAGAGAAAGAGTAGTGACGTTAAAATCAGAAATTTCTTTTATATCAAAATAATTTACTGATTAACTATATGATTATGTCATTATGATTTGTCACGTGCACATGTGTTTAAAAAAATCACTTGGCAGTTAAAAGTAAATTTCTAAATACGTTGTAGTAGCGGTTAAATCTATATTTGGGATCAACCTGATAAAATCTGGTCCATGCATGTAAATAATCGATTTTGTATCAAATATACGTACCGGTACATATCGATATAGCAGATATATATATATGTACTTTTTTTAATTTATTTTCGTTATTTTTTTTAGTGAAAATTAATTTAATTTGATTTTTTTTTTTTTTTTAGGCTAAAATTAAGTTTAATGATTATTTTGATATTATTATAAAAAAAAAAAAACATGCCTAAGTCAATTGATTTCAAAAATGAGAATTGTGCTTATATAAATTCAAGGCGAAGGCGATAATTGATACCGTAGATGGAGTATTTAATCGACAGATGCAGTATTCAATTGATAGATGGAGCATCAATTGATGGATGGAATTCTGTAACGTAAAAATATTAAAAATAGATCGTAATCAAAATCAAAGAGAATAATATCTTTAAAGGACGTAACAGATAGAGTGGGTGGTTACGACTCCTATGTGCGAGGTGGGGCACATTAGAACCCTTTTGAGACTTTAATTTAATCTAGCATCCAACTGGCATAACAGTATTATGGTGTACGAAAGATTAAAACTTGCCAGAATAAGATATATAAAATTAAGAAAGCTTTCTAGCACTATTGCATTCAAAACTTTTGGCAGATTCCAAGAAAAATTCTCAGAATTTTTTGAATGAGATAATTAAATCATTGTATGGTTATTAAACATATTGAATTAATTCATTTCTATAAATTTACAAAGTTTGACAATCATGCAAAGTGTAGGTTATATGGTATAAGGGTCGAAATAAATAAATACTAGATGCTATTTCAAAAAAATAGAAGTTTTTATAAATAAAATTCGATCTTTAAATTAAGATTATTTGAAGGTATTTCAAAGATTTAGATAAATTCATAAGGCAGGATATATTCATACAGACTTTCATAATGATAGCATAAATATATTAGTTATTCATACAGACTTTCATAATGGTAGCATGAAGATATTAGTAAGAGTTTGCAATCTTACTATTTGATTTGATAATTAGGTAATAAATAACTCTTCAGATTTAGCAAGATGCGAACTCGTAGATTGCTAAGTATAGTTACGTAATTAGAGTATTGCGTATCTATAGCTAAATTCAAATAATTGTTATA